CACCTATTTTGTTTGGCAGATTGCACCTGTTTTGTTTGTGGTGAGGCTTACGCCTCGTCTTATAACAAAAAAAGGCCTCGGTACCCATTTACGTTTTTTCAAACTATGAATAAACCTTAAAGTCCACAAATCAGTCAAACTGGAGTTAAAAGGACTCGTAAAATTATCAAACAAGTGTCAACAAAAGGTGGAAGAAGACTTTAAGGAATACCTGCAAAGCTGCTTGGAAAATCAATCTCTCATCAGCATCCGTAGTCTTTTCTTCACCAACCACGGGATGTAGAGAATCGTTTGGACCAGCATACGGATTGGCTGATGGAGATTTTCCAAGAAATAGAGATGGTGGTAATTGTCTATTGCCTCTGTTTTCATAGAGTGGTGATTCACTAAGATTTACCCCGATAAAATTGTCAGAGTTCTTGCCATTAGAAAATTTTGACCATGAAGATTGGTTAAGTTTTGCATAAGTTTCAGTAATGGCATTCTCAGCTAAATTGTTGGATCTTGCACTAGATGAAGAAGGCTGAAAGGTTGCAGGAAGGGCTCTTTTCAAAGCTTGTCGAGAAGGAGGTACTGCAGCATTTATACCAAAACTACCTTTATTATTTGGATCTCGAGACATGTTTGAACTAGAAGTTCCAACTGTTTCAGCATTACTCAGATGCTTATGGGGTTTTAACGAAATTTCATCAGAAATCTTCAAAGATGGAGCCTTCCACGAAAGATCATTGTAACCTGAAAATTGTTGGAGGACATCTGATCAATGACTTACATTCTACCACGCTAGGCAGGTGTTTACATTCAGGAATGTTAATTTTTACCTGTCAAATCAGGAGTAGAAGATGCCCATGGTGGAAGGACCCTAGAACTGGAAAAAGAGGCAGTATCCCTAACAGGAGACTCATCTCTATAATTGTCTATTTCACGTAAATCTGAGTCGCTGTCTGATGAACTGATATCTATAAGATCCACTGATGCCATTATAGCTAAAAGATAATCTTCTGATTCAACTATCAATTCAGAAGAGTTGACAAATGTAGAACCAACCTGCAATTGGATTCCAAACACTCAAAGATGGCATAAACAGATTTCAGATATGCATGATACCACCATGCTAGATGAAGTTTATGTACTTTTTATCTGTAAGGAATGTCTCAAAATCTCCCGTATATCACCAAAAATAGAGTAACATTTCAGAGTAAATTTTAAAATACAACGCAAAGGATCCACATGGTTAAGCATCCAAGAAAGTTAAGTACATCAAATTCCAAGAACAAAGAAAAAGAAGAAACTTAGAAAGGATAACGAGTCAGAATTGGAAAATATATTTCGAGCCCACCCAACCCCATACTGGCGGCTTTGATTCCTAAGGAAGGGAAAAAAAATAAAGAAAATAAGGAAGAAAAAGAAGAAAGTTCAAAGTTAACAGATGGAAGCATTTACGAAAGCAAGATAGTTTTATGCGTAACTTACTCAAAAGAAAAAAATATGCGGAAGGGGAAGAAACAAAATAGGACAATTAAAATTCAACAAGACCTCCACTCTTAAGTCGAACATCTCATGTAACATTAACTTCAGTAAATAATTATGAAAGAAGAATGGCTACTGATGAACAGCTAAATATATGGATCAAACCATGATTCAATTGGCATACACGGAGAAAAGGCAGGTTCAAGGCAAAATCTCATATTCAAATGAAAGAAAATGATCGAGAAAAGAAACCTTAATTCCAACCCGAAATTCAAATTATACAAGTCCCCAAGAAAACTGCTCTCCAAGATTTCCTTGGTTTTCCTTTATATAGATATAAAAAATCCCAAAAAAAACAAAAAAAGAAAATGATCGAGAAAAGAAACCTTAATTCCAACCCGAAATTCAAATTATACAAGCCCCCAAGAAAACTGCTCTACAAGATTTCCTTGGTTTTCCTTTATATAGATATAAAAAATCCCAAAAAAACTAAACGAGAAACGAGAAAATTTATGGGTCAACGTCAAATAAGTTTAAGTGCCAGTAATTACAAAATAAAAATGCATAGGCATGTGTGTGATATCTTTCCAGGACTCATATGGAAATGTACGCATGTATGTGATTTCAGAAAGAAGGGGGTGGGGTATTCCGAAACCTGGTGTAAGATTCCAACATTGATTCTGGGAGTTGAAAGTCGAGTGCAGAAGGGTTGAAATAGATCTTACTACTCTTCCTTGTTTGGATTCTTCAGAAAAGCCCTAATTGCTCGCCGAAGAGAGCAGCGGGCGGGGACTGAAAAACCTTCTTCAGTTCTCAACTTTTTCTAGTTCCTATTTTTCGCTCGGGTAATATACAGTACAGTACCTATTTGGGTGAGGGAAAAAGTTCCAATTGGTTTCAATTTCGTACTGTAGACCATTTGTGTAAAATTAAGGTAAGGGTAAGTTGACACCTTCAAAATTATTTTTATATTTTCATTTAGGATTAATAACTGAAAATCCCTAGAAAACTTATTCACGTGCAATACACCCATACTTATTGAAAATCACTAAGGGTTCGTTTGATTACAAATGTAAAAATTTCGTAGAAAAATTATATTTTACAGGAAATTGATTTGCCTATAAATTGTTTTACTGGGAATTGTAATTAATTGTGTTTGATTGGTATAATTTTTCATGAAAAATGTTGAAAGTTTGGTATCCGTTTGCCTTCATTTTTTATAGAAATTGCCAATTAAAGTGATAATGTTTTCTACCATTGAGTCTAAAATTTGTTCCAATTGTAAAAAAAAATAATAATAATAAATAATCATACCGAATATCATTCGTTTGGCTTTATTTTGTATAAAAATTGTCAATAAAAGTGAATAAAATTTTTACCATTATGTCTAGAATTTTTTTCAATTGCAAAGAAAAAAATTGGAAAATATTTACCCATCAAAATATCAAGAATTTATTTTCCTCCAAAATGTGAAAAATTTGGAAAGTTAGAACATATTTTTTCGGGAAAATTTTGCCTATTAAACACATTTTCCTCAAAAATGTGAAAAATTTGGAAAGTTAGAAAATATTTTTTCGGGAAAATTTTGCCTATTAAACACAACAAATGTTGGGAAATGGAAAAAAAAAATTCATTTTCAATAGAAAATGTGTGCTATCAAATGGGGCCTAAAATTTTCTTGATTGAAACTTTTTGTTTGAAAACCTCCTACCATCAATATTCATTAGTTTAACTGTTAAAAATAGTAAAAATTGCTCAAAATTAAAAAAGAATAATTGCAGTTATAATTTCAAGCTTTTTATTTTTCATAAATTATACTCAATTTTTTTAAATGCGGCTATCTCAAATATATAAAACTTTATTTTTCACTCCTACCCCATCTTCGTATTAATCTACCTATTGTTAACTAGGGATTTGGGATTTTCTCAAGTTTAAGCTTAGCACCTGTTTGAGCCATATTAAAATTTTCATTCTCATTCTTCTATTCATTTTAAATCACACATTCTTCAATAAAATAATAGTTAATATTTGATTATCATTTCACGCCATTTCTTTCCATTATAATTCGTCTCATCTATTAATCTGCCTATTGTTGACTCTGAAGACGACGCCATTGGCTGCATCGATGATGTAAGCGTTCCCGAAGAAACGACAATGACGTCGTTTGGAACGATGGAGTTTGGGAGTGGGGCAAGGAAGAGTTGATTGAAGGTGGTAGGAAGCAAGGGAGGCTAAAGGATGGGTTGGAAGGGCGGCAAACCACAGCGAGGAGTCGATGGTGGTGGCTGTCTAGGGCTAGGCTAAATAAGGAGGAGTTTTCAGTGAGGGAGTCGTCGAAAAGAAGGGAAGCTGCAATGCTGGCGTCGGATATTGAGATGAATTGTTTCTAATGGAAGGACCTAACAACGAAGTGCTCCGACTTTTGGTTCCACGTGAAGGACACTGGGTAGAGATCCGGCCATCGAAAGTTGATGACATGGGGCTGCCAACGATGAATTGGGCAAAGTGAAAGAATCAAGGTGAGGAATACGAGAATTTATTTGAACATGGTTTTGCGGATCAGTATTTTTGTGTATTCTGAGTTATAGGATATAAGAGATTCAGGTGTTGTTTTCAGGCCATTTTCTGTTTTCGATTTTTCAAAACGGGGAAAACGTGTTCTCTTTACTATTTCCAAAAACGCGTTTTCGAAAACGAAAATTTTTTTACACTGAAAACGCAAAACGGCTTTTCAGCCGTTTTGACTGTTTTCCAGCAAAATCAAGGCAAAATGGAAAACATGGGAAATTGAGTATTGTTCATTCTCCCTTCCACAATCTGTCTCTTCCTTAGCTCATCTCACCGGTTTCTCTCCTCCAACGCCGATGACCACCACTGTACCACCACTGCCACATCCAAATATCTCTGCATCAGCCAAAAATCGCACCACCACCACATCCAAATTCGCACCCAATCACCGTTCACAGAGAGAACCAGAAGCAAAATAAAAAGAAAACGGAGAAAATGAGCCGCACCCAACCACAGCCGCAACCAAAAACCGC